CATAGTTTACTTGGTCAAGGTTCTGACCCTTGGTAACATACTCGTTTCCAACCTTGACCTTTGGCTTCAGGAAGGAGTTCAGCAGGTCCTTGGCATTGACACCAAGCAAGAAGGCGACCTTTTCGGCCTCAGCAGTGCCGTCGGCCTCGGCCTGTTCCTCACGAGGTCGTTGTTTGAACTTCATCTCACCCATGTTCAGGATGGAAGTTGTGCACTTGAAGAGGGACATGCGTTCGTCGTTTGTGAAGCCGAGGATGTCGATAGCTTCCTACAGAGGGTGTTTAAAAGGAGGTTAGCTCAACTGGAGAGCCAAACACAGAGCTGTAGAAGAATATGCGCAGATTGCAGCGGTACTTACATCGGTAATCTTCATTTCCTCAGCATCATCGACGCCGTCTATGGTCAGCTCACCCTGGTTGATGAATGAGTAGAGGGCAGGATCAGGAGAGACCAACAGCTTGTCTAATGGCGTAATAGAAAAAGAAAACAATGCGTAATTTTGCAGGCCCAGCCGCACAAAATTTATTCGGTTTTGCAAACCCACCAAGGTACTTCTTGCCATACTCCGACAGGATTTGGTAGAAGATGTGGAAGTTACGTTCCCCCTTCATTTGGGCAGTGACGCGCGACTTCTCGAGCAGATCTAACATGGGAAGATAAGCAGGCGGCTAAGATGGGGACTTACAGAACTCGATATCAGCTCCGGCGATCTTGCCCGTGGTTCCGAAGTGAATACGGATGAACTTTCCCTGAAGAGGGTTAGGTGTGGTTAGGGCAACCGGGGTAGGAAAGGACACTTACGAAACGCGATGAGTTGTTGTTTCGCGTTGTCTTGGCATTGCCGTAGGCTTCCAACAGAGGGTTGGCCTGAATAATCTGGTCCTCCAGCGAGCCCTGGTATTAATAAACAAAATAATACAGTGTTGATTTGAAGGCCAACAACAGTGGGGGGGAAGATGGAGGGTTCAGTTCTATTATTCTGCGCACAGACTTGCCTTCTTATCGACCTGAGCCTCCTCCCTTTTGGAAACACCAGCGGTCACGTAGGCAAAGTACGAAATGACCTTTTTCGTGTTCTCAGTCTTTCCAGCACCACTCTCACCACTGTAATAGAAAATTCCATGCGTAAGTTTGATATCCGTATGCGACGGGCAGTATGCTACTACAAACTATAAAAACGTCATCCAAGCCTAGGAAAAATAGCAACTTACGTGATCAAAATTGACTGATTTTCGCGGTCTGAAAGGTAAAGATAGTTTTTAGATAGAAACATTTCGCAGGAGGTAGGGTGCAGCTTTTGTGATGTAGTTAAACTTACCAGCCAACATGCTATGGTAGGCGTTGTCAGAAATGGAGAAGATGTGCGGTGGCATTTCAGCCCTTCGCTTGCCCTTGTACTTGAGCGCGACCTCAAACGTGTAGATTGGGAAGCGTTTGTAGGGGTTGATTGTCACACAGAACAAACCCGAGTACGTCTAAAGTTAACCGAAGAGGTATAGATGGAGGTGTAGGAAATCAACTCGGTTGACATATATAGGGAATATATATATACGTATGATACATAACCATACATAATATGTAATAATATGAGAAAAATACAATGCAATAATATAACATAATAGTATACTAATAAGAATATAAGATATATATGTGTTGTTTAACCGGTCCTTACGTAAATGAGGTTCTTGTAGTAACGTGCGCGAAGATTCTCCAGGACAGAGGCATCATTGAGGAAGGTGAGATCGGCCATGTCCTCAATCATGGTGAATTTGGGTGGGTTAACCTGCTGTATGGCATCCTTCTTTATCGTCTTGGTCTGCAAGAAGTGGAGGAGGAGAAGTGTTGGTTGGTGAACCGGTTGCACTTGAAAAAAGTACAACAATACAACAATTTTTCTGACAGTTTGCGAAAACTCTGTTTCTACAGACCCGATATTGTCGGCCTCTATAGGTTGCTACTGCATTTAAGGAAATACACGTGGCAATGGTTGACCGACTATCGTTTTTTCACCTGTGTAGCCATATCACAGTCTTCTTACGTCCCCTAAATGTAAGCTCACAGAAAAATTGTTTAGTTACGGCAACAGCCTAACCTGAACTTTTTTTGTCTGACAGAATGACAGAATGACACAGTAACGAAGTAAAAAGAGGTGACAAATACGCCCTAGGTAAATTAATACAGTACCTTCATTTGCTTCACACGAAACCAGTCGATGAGACGATAAACCAAGGAGAAAAGGGCTATTGAAAGCACTACAGTACGATCAGATGAGCTGCGCTTGACCGGAATCATTAGAAGGACTTTGACCGACCCGTTTAGACTGGGTCATACGGGATTCCATATAATTTATTACCATAACATGCATGCTTATTTGATTTAGGTAGACATTAAATATTACGATTAAGTTTCTGGCTGACCTTAATGCAAGGCTCAAGGGTATTTTAAGGTTAACGTCCACTTGAAGATTAGGGTTGGAGTTGAGGTTAGTGATAGGGCCATGTTACCCAGTACAACCTGCTTCAACCACTAAATTTAAATTTTCTGCCGTTTCCTTTCGCTTACGCGCCCCCAACTGGCATGTCATCAGAGGGATAAAACAAGCTTGGGCTAGAAATGCAGGTAGTCCCAATGCTCTTCGCAGACTCCGTTAATTATCTTACGCATCTGTCTTACTGAAAAAAAGAACTAATAGCAGCGCCATTTTCGTTTTACGGAAGCCCCCTGTACCTATTTTATCAGTGAACTTAAATATCAGATCCTTCCCCCCAAATTTCTTAATACTGATCTCAGTAAGCACTAATTACTATGTAAACGGCCTGGTTGCATAATTAAGCTAAAAGGCATAGTGAGAAACTCAGACTCACAGCAACTTATAGGGATATTAAACAGCTGTTTGTTTTACTCAGTTAAATATGCTTTCAAATTACCTTGACACAACTTTGAATAAGGCACTGATGAAACACTTGCTTTTAACTACAAACAAATATGTTCTTATTTACTAGTTTTTTTTTATCATTCGGATACTCCTATCCTAGATTCCTGGATAGACTACTTTGTATCGCACAAGAACTGATGGCAAAAAGTCAGCGGTTCTGTCGAAGACGATAGAAGACATACAGTGAAAAGGAGAACTCACAGTTCCATCCTTCAGTCTAACGGTGACGTTGTCACCGCTTGTTTCCTCAACATCCGCCATCACGAAACCCTCCTTTTCATCTTCCACCCAGGCTACCTTCTTTGAATCGAAACTTCCAGCCTCAAACTCCTTCAGGAGGGCTTTGCGATCCACTCCGAGGTACACGAAATCCGGATCTGAGGGGTCCATGGTGTTTTCGTAGTTGACTTATTGATTGAAAAACAGAGTCTTCAAGTTAAGCGTGAGGGAGGTTGGAGGTAGGATAAACTCTAAAAGGAGAGCAAAATACAGGTGCACGGCGTGGGTGAGTATATTCTAGCCGTCGTATTTCGCGTGGCTTTTGCTGCAAGCAAGCGTAACTCACGTTCCGAACGGGAGAGAGAGCGAGAGAGCAAGTGAGTGAGTGAAAAAAGTCGCGCGCACGCGTGTGTAGCCGGCCGTGCTGAGGGGCTGACCCCAGACAAAGGGT